AAACTCAGAACAAGACTGAACCCTCAGGTCCACCCCAGTACCTCCTAATATTCACCTTGCTTGTAATGGACAGAGAAAGGTTACGTGTGACATTGTTTAAATCCTTGGATCTAAATAAGTATGAAGTCAACTCTGGACTTTTGCAGTGCAGACAGGCCTTGCCCAGGGTCACAAAATAGCAGAGCTATGATTTCATTTCAGATCATCTGATAGCTGAGTCCACCCTCTTGACCACTAGAGGGATCACTGATGATAATGTTCACTTGCCCTCTATCTGAGGAGGCCTCTTAATCCTTGTTTGGTGCTACCTCCCATTCCCCACCCAGGCTTGTTGGGGCCACAGAGACTTTTCACATCGTGGCTCCTTTCAGAGCTATGCTCTCCACTAATCCTCACCAAATTATCAGCCTGCTTCTTCCAGTTTTTCCTTGCTGTTCAGTGGCTCACTGGGAGGCCAGGTCCCGGATTCTAGGACCACAAACAGGTACACCTTTTCTGGGGTATAAGAAAGGGTTTGTTTGTAGAGAAATGATTGACAATCTCTCCCCTCCCCCTCCCCAGACAGACAAGACACACAAATAAACAAACGTGACTCGCTTCTAAATTTGGAAAGCATGCTTCTTGTAAAATGCAGCTGAATTTTCAAATTCTGTTACATTAAATTCTTAAAATTAATGTGCTGTCTGTAGACTTCACTACTGGTTTCCTGGGAGAAATCATCTTTTACTTTGAGGTTGGTATTGCCAACATGGCCGCTGTTGCTTCAGACTAGGTATAAATATAAATGCAGGTAATAAGATGGCACAAGGTAACCAACAACTTAATTATACCAGGTGGCAGGCAATTGTTTATTTAAACTAAAATATAGGGATATGGATTGATTTATTGTGTTACGGCATTTTATATTTCTTTCTTATCAATTTGCAATGTTAATCCATTAAGTGAACTATTATCCTATCTCCTCAGGGACCTTCAGAGTTACACACTTCCTTGAGGCATTACTTTAGTCCCCACAGAAGATTCTACTGGTAATTGGTGGGATTCTGAGCTAAAAGTTTGCACATGGTACCACTCTGATTCAGAGAGGTGCTGAAAGTCCAAAGTCTTGATGTTGTTATGTGTCAACCTGAGATTTGCATAAACATTGCCTCCAAGCTGCCAGAATTAAAAAAAAAAAAAAAAAGATTTTTTAAATGTGTTTCTTGTTTTTATTCAGTACTCATTGGCTGGCTGAGTTGTAACATGAACTTGTGGCTTGGCTTTTCACATCGGAGCCTATGACTTTTCCTCACTTGTTTCTGGACCTTCTATGGCTTTAACATTAATCATTTGGCATTTGATGGATGCAATATGAATATTTACAAAATTTCATTTTGATACTTTACATTCCCATGTGAAGATCCTCTAATTATCATATTTTGTTATAGATTTTATAATTGTTACATTTAAGTGATGTCCTTTACTCTTAAGCATAATAACTAGGGAAAAAGACAATTAGTTCAGTAAGTTGTCTAAAAGTCATGTTTCATGTAGCGGAGATTATGCAATATTATTTGAATAAAGTATCATTAATGAAAATTTTAACATGCTTTACAAGTAATAGGTTGTTAAAACATTGGATGGCAACTTAGCTCTTTAAGGATAAAATACCCTTAAGTTTTTAGATGGGCAGACTCATCCCAATGCTAAATGTATCTTGTGTTGCCAACTACTTGTAGGAAATGTTGCAAAAACCTGCATTATTTTGTAGCACAGCATAAAAACGTTGCTTTTTATAGAGGTGAACACACTGGTTAGCTGATGCTGATGGAACTCTGGATCATTTTCTATCTTTCAAAATCTGAAATAATTCTAATGCCAGGAAAAAATGTCAAAGCATGACATGAAAAAGAAGATATTAAAAAAAATTAAATTCCCATAAAAACAAAGCCAGAGGTATACATTGCAGGTTGCTACAGGGTCATAGACATCTAGGGGTGGGAGAGATGAGCTCAACTTCCTACACTCCGCTGAGTCCCTGAATCGAAGCACTTGGCAGTCTCAAGGGAATTGACAGTGATTGGAGACAGGTCTTTTCAGCCAATGTGAGCATTTCTCTGTTTGTATGTCTATTCCTGGACATTCAGTAAAATAGTGTCTCTTCCTGCTTTAAGCATCTCACAATCTGGTACCTCCCCACGTGTCCCTAGTTTGCTGTTGGTTTCTGTATTTTTCCATCTAATTCCAGTATTTCCTTCTTACCAGAGATCCTGGGTTGTTTTCACTCCAAGTTAGTGGGATGGGCTGACCTGGCCCTTAAGCTCCAGTTTCTGATCTTGGAATTAAGTGATTAACCCTGTTATTTCCTGTGAGAAGAAACTGCCTCCCAACACTGTCCTTAGCAGCTGGAGTGTCCATCCTGGGAAGGGTTTGATACCGCCTCAGGCACTTTTCTGCCTTCCCCAGCCACAACTACTTCTTGTCAACCTGGGTGCCAAGGTGCTTCGCTCATCAGGCTGAGTCCAGTGGGACTTATCGGCAAAGAAAACACCAGGACCAGGCCAGGGATGGCACTTGGCTTGATCTACGCTACAAACTCTCATTGGTAGACATACTGGCTATGACTTTGAGCAAGTCTTTAATCTTTGTGCTTCACCTTTCTGGTCTGTTAAAAGGGGATAATAATAGTACCTATTTCACAGGGCTTTCATGAAGATCAAATGTGTTATTATTTATGAATCAATTTGAATAGTGCCTGGCATATAGTAAGTGGAGTATAAGTGTTTGTCAAACAAATTAAAAACAAACAAACAAATGGCCTTTCTGGTGTGGCTCAGTGGTTGAGCATCGACCCAGGCACCAAGAGGTTGCTGGTTCAATTCCCGATCAGGACACATGCCCAGTTTGTGGGCCAAATTCCCAGTGGGGGGCATGCAGGAGGTGGCCAGTCGATGTTCTCTCTCATCGATATTTTTCTCTCTCTCTCCCTTCCTCTTTTTTCTCTAACATCAATAAAACACAAACAAACAACAACAGAAAAACCACAAATGAAGGATAATAGACTGTGTCACCCCAGAATATGTCTCTCTGGCATAAGGATTACTTTGAGCCAATTACTTTTGAGAAACAGTGGACACTGGAGAAGCTCTGAAAACACAGCAGAGGATGTAGGAACATTCCCCTTTTGTGTGGGAAATGGACGTTTATAAAGAAAATCTCTGTAAATGTGTCTCTGTACCAGGAAAGAAAGATGCCTCTGAACCACAGAGAATCTTATCAGTGGAGAAGCCATAACACGCTGCAGGACAAACCTCGCCTTTGTGTACTGTTCTTTCCTGGTAATCTCTCATAACTAGCACCCCCCACCCCACCACCTATCTTTCCTTTAGTTGAAATGGTATTTAAGTTGGGGTAACTTGGGCCATCTCAGGGAGTTACTCAGTTTCCCTTGGTATCTCCTATGTGTATGTGAGGTACACATGTTAATAAACTTCTGTTCCTTTTTCTCTTGTTTATCTCTCTTTTATTACAAGACCTCAGCAAAGAACTCAGAAGGTTGAACATCATCATTTTTCCTCTCCTGCACAAACAGATAATCAGTGTATCGGGTGGAGAACTGGTGATGACAAAGGAGAGATGTCTAGGATCTGTGGGAGATGTCTTCCGAGTGCTGGGAGAAGGAAGAGACCAGTGTCATGTTATCTGCCGTTCCTGACACCGACCTTACTGGGCTCCGCCCAGGATATAATTTTAAAGGTGATGCATTTATAATTACTACCCAACCTGTCTTCTTCTCTTTAGAAAAGAACTGAAATGTATTCTCTCAGGAGTAGAATTCATTCATTCATTCAATACTATATCATTTATCGAGTACCCACCTTGTTCAAGGCGGACGTCACATGTAAGGAAATTAAAATGGTTCCTGCCCAGATAAAGCCTAGATTCTAGTTGGTGAAAGAGACATTACAGGTAACTGCATGATTACTGGTTTAATCACAGCTCTGAAGGGTGCTCTGAAGGACGAAGATAATGTGTAACAGGAGTCCTGTCTTAATCCTGTGGGTCAGGGAAACTGTCCTTAAAGGAAAAGATATGTCAGCCTCAGAGCTGGGAAGCTAGAGGAGCTGGTTAGGACAGGGCTTTGGCCTTGAGGAAGAGAGGGCATTCCAAGGTTGGGGGTGGGGCGGGGCACGTGGACAAAAGCTCTGGAATTGTTTTGCACTATATGAGATACAAAAAAGAAAAACAATTGGTATCTTTTTTTAAAAAAGGAAGATGTGGCCCTAGTAGGTGTTTTACATAGTCACCTGTGTCCCCTGAGGGCAGACAATGCAGGTGCTCTGTAACTTTACCAGCACCGTGCAGTAGTGCAGTATCCGTGGGGAATGCAGAGAATACTTCTCATTGGCGGAGGCAAAACTTCACGGAGAAAAAATTATGTTAGGGTTTTAAAGGATCGGTTGGGCTTCAATAGATATAAATAAACTAGAGGATAAGAAGCTGCAGACCAAACGCATTACTCTAATAAAATTGTAACATTTTTGGTATTAGCAATACAGCATACTTTTGTTCGTTTGTTTTTTTTCCTAGGTTTTTTGGTTTTTTCTCTGGGCTCCTGAAAGCGTACCATGGATTCTGCTGCCAGAACCGCTCGTATTAACGTTGTCCTGTTTACAGGTTTTTGATAAGCTGTTTTCATTCTTGAATAAATATGAAATGATGCCATTGTCCGCTAAAAAATAGCTGAGGTTTTACTTGAACAAAATCTGTTTGGAAATGTTAAGCTGGTTACCCAGAACTAATATGCCTCAAGGTGGTCATTCTCTCTGGATTAAAGCCGTGGAACAATTGTGGCTCCTGTTACAAGGAACACGACAAAGGGCCATTATGAAAGGGACAAAAATCTCTGTTCCCAGAGGGGGGCTGACAGGCTGAAAGTCCCCCTCGACAGCCAACACAAAAGCCCGATTGCCTCCGATTGTTTGTTTATGTAAATCAAAGGAGCCATTGATCCTGCAATTAGGGCTGCGGAGCAATGGGAAGGTGGCCATTGTCCTGATTCTTGCTCCTGGGCTGGGGGCAAATCCGACAGATTCTACTGCTTTCGTTCTCAACTCTATCTGGGCACCTTAAGATAAAGACGCTTGTGATTATGTACTAAAGTGAATAATTTGTGTTCTTAGAGTAGGATTTGGAGCTATAGGACTTGAAGGCAAGAGGACTGGTCTTATCAAGGGTCGGTTTACTCAGTTTCCCCAGAGCTCAAAGTCGGACTCAACTGTACATCATGACAGATGTTCCAGTGACATTCAGCCAGGTTGAGTGTAATGGGAATACACCACCTGAAAACCGTAACCCACCGATCACTAAAACCAACGAGGAAATCAGTGATGTGGATGGCACCCCACCCTACTACAGGGTCGAACCTAGTCTTAAAGATTTACCGACAGAAGGAAAGCAGGAGAAAAGTGAAAAGTTACCGGGGAAGATGCTGCTCAACTGCTCCATGGATGAGAAGATCCTAAAAGGTAAAACATTTTCCTTCTCTTCGATTTGCCTGATTTGTTCTATAAACTCACTCAGGGTTCTTTTGATAAACTGTTATGACAGGAAGGAGCTGTTCGTCCTCCCACCCCCACCCCTGCCTCAATGTGGCCCCTTTCCTACTGGGGCTCCACAGTATAAGGACTGAACCTCTGCCTCCGGTCAAATGCAGACTTATTTGTGTGATAGCTCTGTAACCCTGAACACTCTCCTAGCCTCCTGAAGATGTAGTTTTTTTAGTAGAAGGTAAGATAATGGTGCCGACATTTGTAGGATTGTTGTGAGGATTACTCAGCTGGAGAAATGTTAGTTAATGTTATTTATTATTGTTATGAACAGCCCTATTATTATTTGAGCTAAAGGAATGGAGAATTTCAAGTTTTCCTTGTAAATATACCATTAAGTGTCTGAACCATGGTTATATACCTTAGATATTAAAGGAAGATTGTTATTATGTTTATAAATAAAAAGAACCAATGAAAAATGAGGTAGAAGAGTAAAATAGTTATTCTTAGTGATTATAATTAAAAATCAAAGGATCTACCTAGTTAGAGTCTAAAGTAATTATTTATTTAACCTTGAACCACTTAAGTATTAAAACATTAATCTTGTGTGTTGTTGTTGTTTTTTTTCACCTAGAAAAGCCAGAAGAGGATCTCTTTATTGTTCATAAGGCCATCACAGATCTTTCTCTCCAAGAAACAAGCGTTGATGAAATGACATTCAGAGAAGGTAAGAGGGACCTGCCTCCACTTTGTACACAGAATTTGTTTGACTGGATGTGGGTGACTGTTTTGGCATGGGATGTTGGGTGATGAGGTGTTGAGAAAGCAACCCAGACCATGCCTTCCAAAGCTCAAAGCCTCTGTAGGCAGATAAGGGAGTCTTGATTACCTGTGGGTTCCACCTTAGGAAGTATTCTAGAAACTTTAAGACTGAGGCTGCTTGGATTGGTATAACTGATTGGCACATTTTAACCTGATAACACATCTGTCTTAGTAAATTAATCCACAAAATTAACTTTTTTTTTTTTAAATTTAGTATTTTCAAATCTGCGTGAGGCAGCTTGTGAAATATAAATGTTTCCAAAATGGGTTTATCCTAAAAGTTTAGCATTGACATACAGTTTAAAATAATCTTATAAATATATTTGACCTAAAGAAAAATTCCAGGCCTCGGATTTAAGCACAAAATGGTTACCTAATTCTTGTCAAAGAAATCTCCCAGGTGATAAAGTTAATTTTAATTCTGTTTTTCAGAAAGTTGAGTAATAATAATAATAATAATTAAAAAAACCATTGATTATTGACTATATTATATTTCAAATAAACTCAAGAGACTAAGAGACACACATTCTTTTAGACTTCTTTCTAAGGAGGCACCAACATTCAAATAATTACCAAATAACAGTGAAGGATAAAAATCTATCAATCACTCATGTTCTCTCTTGCAGCCAGAAATGTCTTATCCCAAAATTGAAGTCAGCTTGTTAAACCTAAGTCATTCAGTTTAGTCAGGACCTTAACAGGAAAAACACTGATGAGGTTACTGGTTGAATCATTAGAACGACACATAAAATAGTAGATGCCGAGGAAGATAAGGAGGTGATTGGCAGTCTCCTGGGGTTGTCCACCGTGCCTGGACACCTGTCAGGCTCCCGGATGACCGCTCGCGGCCTGCGGTAGGCCCTGGAGGAAGAATGGGGTGAGCTTCCAGGGTAGCTCTTGGAGGCAGGGATGCCAGCCTTCCATCTAGAACCCCTTTCAAATTCCGCCTCGGGAAGTCCCTTGGAGACTACAACTTTCTAGGATCTTTCATTTTTATCAAATCGAGAACAAAAGCAGTCTGGATTTTTAAAGGAGTGGGTCTCAGCATGAATTTTTCTCTGAATAAATAAATCCTTTTGTGTTTTGGTGAAACATATGTTTTCCCTGAAAGCCAGAGGTATATGTTTTGTTGTCTTTTCTTTTCACAATGGCAAGCAACTATAAAGTCTCCCAAGAGAATACTCCCGAGTTAAAAAAAAATAGAAAGGTACTAAAAATATTGAGGAAAAACTATAATTTAAATTCAAGAAGTAATTTCATGCATGACAACCCAATGCCTGAGTCATGAATATGAGCAACAAGATCATTTTATTTGGTGCTTGTGAAAAAAAAAAAAAGAAAAAGAAAGAAAACAAAACAAAGCTCAACATTCTAATGCATATTTATTTATAGTGCAAAGAACATGGACAGGGCACCTGTGCACAACTCGTTAGAAGTGATAATCCATCTTCAATTCTATCTCTTTTTGTAAATTTACAATTTGATTCCTATCATTGGGAAAACAAAAAAATAAATAAATAAAAAGGGAAGGAAAAATCTTTGATGGAAATGAAACTGTGAACATCTTTCAGTGAAAATAGAAAATCGTGGAAGGGAAGGGCAGAGGGAAACCTTGCCTGTCCCTTTAGCTAAAGACTTGACAGCGTTGAAAGGGAATAGTTTCCCCGGGGCTGACAAGGGACTCCACTCAGGCCGTATTTTTGACTCTTACGCGTTATAGGCTGAAGCTTCCTACACAAGTTCTCTGGGCTGAAAGCTCAGAGAACTACCTCTATTCTCTTAGAATGAATTCTTTTTTGCATTCTCAATAAATATTGTTGAGAATATCCTGACGCGATCTGTTTGTAAAGTGAAATTTGCAATGAATTAAACATTTTTAAAGTTATGGCATGGTACCAAACAACTTGAATGAATCAGTTGCCATTAAGGACATGTCTAATAATAGGCTAACCTAGCACTTTGTAGATAGGATCTCGACATTATTTTAAAATATTATCTCTCTAGGAGTTAACAGCAGGCATTAGACTACTAAAGTGTGTGTGCTGTGGTGGGCTTGACTTAGCCTCAGCTCGTGACTTCTGTGGTCCTTGGCTCCTCCTTCTACCCTGGTACTTTAGGACAACTCTGAGAAGCCAGGTGGCAGCTGAATGTGCTCCTCTGAGCCAACCGGACGTGGGCTGGCACTGTTTTTACCACTGGAAGAAAGACTTTTTTTTCCTTGTAGATATTTTTCTAATATTCCTTGAGGTGTGTGTGTGTGTGTGTGTGTGTGTGTGTGTAAGATATAGGTCCACATATTTATTTATTTTTTTTTTTAATCCTCACCCGAGGATATCTTTCCATTTTTTGTACAGATAGAGTGGGAGGGAGAGAGAGGAAGGGAGAGAGAGAGAAACATTGACGTGAAGGGACACATCGAGCGACTGCCACCCGCACGACCAACCAGGGCCGGGGACAAACTGCAACCGAAGTACGTGCCCTTAGCGGGAACCGAACCCGGGTCTCTCCGGACTGCAGGCCGACACTCTAACCGCTGAGCCAAACTGGCCAGGGCCACATATTTATTTTACATATTCACATCCAGTCATGACAGGCTAGACAAGGTCTTTAGAAGTATGTCTCAGGGGACACCAGTCTCACTCAATACAGTAGTCAATAACAACAACAGCAGATCCATAGTCAAGTGAGGTTGAGTTGCCAATTTTCTTAGAGATATACAATATTCATTAGCATTTAAAAGGCTTGGATAAATTCTGAAGAAGCTTACTTAACTGTGTTTAATGCAGTGTTTTTCAAACTAATTTAATGGAACAGCCCATTTTATTGTATGACATATATTAGTAACCCACAAAGTAATGTTTCGTAAAACGTTTGTGGGGAAATGATGGTCCAGGAAGATAATTTGGAGAATAACATCTGAATATGGGGAACTTCTGCACATCTCAACGACCGATTGATTTTGCTGCAGGGCATCCGTGGAAGAAGATTCCTCTGAGCAGCAGTCACCTGGAAATAAGTAGACAAAAGGAAAGGATTGCTGAGCAACCTCTAGAAGAAAGAGGAGATGGGGGTAGGAAGAACGAAGCTTACCAGGCAACTGAAATTGAGTGGCTGGGATTTCGGAAGCCTAGCCAAGTTGATGTGTTTCATGATGAGGAACAAGAGGTTTGGGATGAAGAAATTCACAGTGAAGATGATGATGAAGATGAAGTTCAAGTGATAGAACTTAAGGAAAAAAGTGAAGAGGGTTCTCACCTAAAAGAGGGAGGTAATCCAGGTGAGGACTCTCCACTGAGCAGCCCCGGGTCCCAGCCTGTGTCACCCGAGCAGTCAGCTTTTGGGAAGAAGAGTGATATTTCCAAAAATACTTCTTCAAGATACAACACAATATCCTATCGGAAAATCAGGAAGGGGAATACCAAGCAAAGAATTGATGAATTCGAGTCTATGATGCATTTATAAACTAACTGGATCTGAAAAGTTCCCACTAAAGCAAAATCTAATTGTCATTTACTGAGATGCATCTTCGTGTGCCTGATTTCAGTTGTCCACTTTAAAGATGTGAAAGCTTACTTTCTGTTTCATGGTAGAAAAATGTGGAAATAACCCTAGATAAGACTCAGTCTGGTAACTTCAAATCAAAACCTTCACATTCATCTGTGGACATTTGCTTTGTTAAATTTCACTAACATGGCATGATGTGATAAGCCCTGAACAGCCAGAACCCCTGGGGAAGCTGGCATGATTTGGCTTCAAAGGAACAGTGCTGGAAAATGTAGTTATTAAATGAAAGGTACCTATTTGAAATGATTCCTATATTTCTTTTGGGGTCTTCCTGTACCTTAAGGCTGATCGAAAGTCCATTGTTAACCCTTTCTTAACTTTTAAACACTGTTTTATAGACTCTGGCAATAAATGTTCAAATTACTTCTCCTTTCCTATTATCTTCCAAAAGGATTTTAAGTGGTTTCCTTGGCATCTGCCCAGTGAAAATCCCGCATAGACCTTCTTCTTCAGTGTTACCGTTCACTGAATTTTCTCACTAGAGGAGCTGAGCAATTGTTAGCCAGAAGAATCCTGTTGACTGAATGTTGCCTTTATGCTCTTAAGATATGAATTAAATCCATTGTGAGGTTGATACAGGGAGGGGTTACAAGATTGATGGGCAATAGACTGAAGAGCTATATTGTATAGTTTTATTTCTGTGGCAAAATCTTATATAGCAAAATTGAAGTCATTAAAAATGAAAACAAGAGCTTTAGCACATTGAAAGAAAATACCCCCCTTTATTATCACACTTTCTGTAATTAATAATATCTCAGAATAATTTTCCTTCCTTAGAAATCCAAGATAACTCTAGTCATAACTGTACTAGTTACTATGAAAATGGAAATAATTATCATAGAATATTCTAAAGTAGAGTGTGAGCATGCATTTTTAGTGAGAAAGCTTTGATAGTTGTTGGGAATATATAATTTACTGGACCTCAGCCCAAATCAAGATACTTAAAATTGTGCTTATGGAATTTCATCAAACCAATGTGTCAAATAATATATTGAATATTTATGAAAAGAGAGAGTCTATATTTATATAGATTTCTTAGATATTTTCATAATTTTTTATTTTATGCTTCCATATATATTAACACTCACTGTCACCCCGATAAAGATATTTTTGGCTCTACAAATAAAAAGACAATTCCTTATTGTCTGAACGTAATACAGTCTTCATTGTACCATTCAACCCGTTGTTTATTTCTTTGTCATTTTGTAAAAAACCCTGGTTTATCCCTTCTTAGATTATCGCGATTTATGTGTAACAAATCCCACACATTCTAATGGCAATGTCATTAATTCTTCCTGGTCATATAATATATTTCCATAGTATTATACACTATTATTTAGTGTTCACAAGACTCAATTTTGAATTAAGATTGCAGTGTTCCTCTTATTTGTTCAGATAGTTTGCAACCTGATCATATCATATAAATGTTCTGCCACCCTTAATCTGTAGAACCTATAGATTTCAGTCTTGACAAGGCAAGTTTCCAAAATAAAGCTAGGGAAAGCAGGTCTTTATTTGTAGACTCAGGCAGAAAATGAATGAACTAGGACAATTTCCTGTTTCTTTAGATGCTCTAGACCTGCCCACCAGGCAACCTATTTTCTTTTCTGAGTTACTGATAACCCCTACAATTTTCTCCTTAACTTCAAAGCTCAGTGTTGTGTTAGCTATCACAGAACAGCACCGTATTGTTAATCTCCCATCAACAGAGCTTACATTGTAAATTATTTCAGGGGAGGTGATGATGTAGCGGGTGGTCTATGGCCATGTGATATGGCCAAGCAACTAGCTCTTCTGGGGTTCCAATATATGTACTGGGTTGCTACATACACACACACATACATGCACACACACACACACACACATGCACACACACACAGAGTAACCCTGGCCTTTTTAATTTTGTTCTCTTTTACCAGATGATAAACCAACCATGAAAGGTTTTTATCAGCAAAGACTTTTCAGGGTATATTCAGTGAGCACATACTTCATGCTCATGGATGAGGCATGCAGTTGCCAAGAGCTGGACTGCCCTATGCTGCCATCTTACACTGAGTCCACAGAGTTCAGTGATCATAAGTAACATGAGGTGATGGGTGGCTGTTTGATTCTTTGTAGCCTAGGGAAGGCAAGGTCTGGTTCAGATCCTATGAGGGGCGTTTTCTTATTTGAAATTCATGTGGGACATATTATAATGCAAATTAGTAACTACACAGGCAAGTTTACCACTTCTGTGATTCAAGGTTCAGGGTGGGATGAAGGACTCTGGGATCTGGTAGGAGGGAGAATTTATTTATTGTGAGAATGCTTCTATTTCTTACATGACTTTTGTTTTCCTTAGTTGCTGGGTGAACAGGAATTAATAACAGCTCAATTTCTCTGTCAATTTAAAATTTACCTTTTATATAAGGCTAATTTTGAAGACATAGAGTATATCACAATCTATCTAGTAACAAATTAATTAAAGAACTTCTGTGTCTGACTTGCTCTCAATAAAAGTTTATGTCCTTGTTTTTGGTGTCTACAATTTCTTTTCTTTAGCTGCCCTATAAAATTGAGAAAAACCCTTACATATTAGCAGCTATTAAGATGATCAATAAATGATGCTTCAGAAATCAAGAGAACATGTTATTTTAATCCATTTGCATTATTTATTTCAAAAGGTCTTAACATAATTGTGTATAAAATGACAAAAAAAATTCTAATGGGTAGCATGTCATATTTAAAAATTTTCTGATTTTTACAGGAACTGAGCTATTGTTTTAGATGCACCTTAACTCCAAAACTTGAAGAACATAGATATCTTTGTAGTCATCAAGGTAACACATGTAAACTATACCAACACTTGTATAGTAATTATTTCTGCATATTTACATGGGGCAGTATTTCTGATACACTTTCAAATCATAAATGGACATTTAAGTTTTTCAGTGATAGATAAAAACCTTTAAAATAAGTAATAATAGAGAACTATGGGAAAACATAAAGCACCCATGTAGCACAGAGAAGAAACATGTTTGACCATTGGAGAAAGGCAACTACTTCTTCTTTTTTTTTTTATCCTCACTCAAGGACATTTTTTTGCATTTATCTTCAGATAGAGCAGGACGGAGAGAGCGGGGAGAGAGAAACACGCATGTGAGGGAGACACATCAACCAGTCGCCACTCACACCACCCCAAGCGGGGCCGGGGACAAACAGCAACCCGCAGGCTGATGCTCTAACCGCTGAGCCAACCTGGGAAGGTGGCAACTACTTCTTTTAAAGCCTGAACTTTCATTGCTCTATAAAAACAAAAGTGCTATAAAAAGTAAGGTCAAAAGTTACAGCAAACATTTACCAATATTAAAATATCAGACAGTAACATAATAAATATTAATACCAAGACATGTATGCAGCTCGTGAGGAACACAAGGTGACTAGACCATACAATCAACATGAACGCAATGACGTGGGTAGAGATCAGCAGCGAAACCACTCCGATACATGGAAGACTACAAAATACAAAATGATAATATCTAGTAATTAACTGTCAGCTAAGAAAATGTTTGGAAATGAATTTGGAAAATAATTTAAATTTTTACTTAGAAACTTAAAAATCAAACATTACATGTTTGAGTCCTTCTTTATAATAACATCAGTTGGTCAGAGGCAGAAACATTGGGTACAAAAAACTGTTCAGATGAACTCCAAATCTCTTTATTACCCCATATTTTTAATCTAGTTATCCCATTAACAAATGTTTTCAGGTAATCAAAAACAAAATTCACTAATTTGACCTTTGCCCTCTCTAGTTTTATGTCCACCTCTTACAGCTAATATGTGTAGAACTAGCACCGTGTGGGCAGCTGCTGGAAGGAGAGAGATGAAGGCGTGTGTAACACTAACCAAAATAGCACGCATTTTGGTAACTTGGAGTTTGATTACCCCTCTCAAGTATGGAGTATAAAACCCAGAGTGCAAGTCCACCTGCACTTTTGTCCAGAAGGCCAGATGCAGACAAAGCTATGTACTCAAAAAGAGAGTTAAAAATATACAAAAATATGTCTTAATTTTCTTTACTTTTAAGTAGACACTCTTGGTTTTATTTCCCCCCAATTCAAAGCACAAAATACAGCTACATATATAGCTATATATATATTAATATACATATAAATATATGTGCATATTTCATACATATATATACAAATATGCACATATATTTATAAAGATCGATATGTTTTTGAATGGTCAAGTAAAGACAATCTGTGCTATCAAAACGTTAGTTTCGATATCTAGCATGAAGGCTTTATTTATATAGATATTTATCATCAACATCCATAAACTGGCAAATATTGATCAATCAATAATAAAATAGAAAGCCTCTGTTTTCAAAGAAATTGTTACTTATTTGATTGCAACCATCATTAGGAAGTCAGCATATTAGCAGTTGCTCTATTTGCTGGAAAATGAGAACTTCATGTGTGTTTGTGCAAAGCAAAGATTCACATGAACTTGCAAAGGGACCCTAATTGGAGTGGTAGCTATTAGTTAACTCATTAGGTTGAAAAACAGAGGCAGTACATCTGCTTAGTGTGATGGCATCCCCCTCCCCCACCGCCTCCTTTTCTCTTAGACACAGTCACCACCAATACCTCAAATACCATCCAATAAACCTCATCAGGAGTATATAATACTTTACATGGCTTATTCAAACAGGTCCATGAGATGGTTATTTTCCAAAAATAAATATTCTCTGCATTAGCTTTGATTAGTGTTCCTTTTCTTGTTGAAAGATATTTTGGCTTTTAGCAATTGTTGCATAACCTATGCAAAAGTTGCAAAGCACTGTGGTGACAACACAATGAAGCAAACATTTCAAGTCTTGTGTTTTCAATTAAAGGACTTCTCAATTTTTCACTTACACCTCCATCCAAATCTATCAGCTTTGCTTAATGGTGAGGGGAAGAAAGACGTGGTAACATTATTCACAGAGAAGCAATCTCTCTCTGTCCACTCCCCCCTCTCATATTTGTCCCAGAAGATGGAAAAGAACGTGTCCAGCATGAAGTCGAGGAGAGAGACCATAGCAAAGCATGTGGCGATGCCTGTATTGAAACCTACACTTCAGTTGTACAACAGAAAGGGGTGCAGCTGCTGTTTCCCATCTGCAGGACATCCAAGAGAGAAAACAAAGAGATTTGACTCCACGACCAACGATTGTTAACTGAGCCCTGCTGAGCTGACTGCCCTACTTAAAAAAAATAAAAAGTCACAGTAGCGTGCTGTAGTGAAAGAGACTCCTTTCTTCTTTCTCTTTTCTGTTTTTTTGAGCCACATAGAATAGAAACTGTATTTTTATCTCTTTCGAGTGGGATGACGCTAGACAATCCTGCTCAGCCGTCCTCTTGTCTGCATGAGGAGAATGAGACCCACCTCACTGAGTCGGCCCCACAGGGCATGGGGTGCACGCTATGCCCAGCACTTAGTAGGTACTCAGTTCGTTCTCATCTTTCCTCCCTTTACTTCTTGTCATTTCCTTGTTTTTATCCAGGATATTGGGGCCTTCGTTGGAGACATAATTTAGTTCCCCTGTTTGAATGTGGAAGTTAAATTAAAGGTGTTATATCAAATAAAGATGGTACTATTTGGTTCATTTCAACCCTGTTCTCTTGCTTGAGAGCTTCTTGGAAATCATTCTAAGCCATTCATGAAATCAAAGTTGATGGGGGAAACTGAATTCCTTCATACCATAACTATATTTTTGCCCTCTACAATCCCTAGGGCCATTATAGAAGCAAGATGTTTTAATATCTAAGAGAATATTTCCAAATTAGTGTGGAGAAGCTAACAATGCATGGTGATCATGACACATGATGGTTTTTGGCCCAGTGAATGACAGCTGATTGAATGTCAGCAAGCAGAATTGAGGAAATTTGATGCTGGTGATAAAACATGGTTGTACCAACAACAGCTGTGCCATCCTTTGGGGAGAGTAGGGTGGAAACTTTGGGTAGCTGTTGAAAAA